GAAAAACTACAACGTTTAGTTTAGTTGTTTACTAATCGTTAAGAGACAACAAAATGTACGCTGCACATATCTATTTTTTCATAAGATGACCCAAACTTAGAACCAGATAAATCTGTTACATTAGAGTGTTTAAAGCACATTATAAGCATCAATAAGATGTTTCTTGGTTGTTTACAATTGTTACAAGTTAAAACTGTAGCTGTATATTGTACGTTGTATTATCATCAACATTATAATGACAAATTTCATCTTAAAAATTGAAAACAGAAAGTAAAGTTTTTCATTCTTCAATATTTTAATCAGAAAAATTTTACTCAAAATTATTTCATAATTTCTTAATTCAAAAGAACTTATGTCAAAATCGTAAAAGTTTTATTTATTTTCATCATAGTTATTGACATGACGTCATGATGTTTTACATACGGGAATTGCTGACAGTATATAACATTTTCTGTCTTTAAGGTCGTATGTACATAATAAACGTACAGAAATGATCTCTCACGATTTTCAACTAATGACCATAAAACCCAATGACATGACATGACATCATGATGGTGTTTTATAAATGTGAATTTTTAACATCATTCAAAACTTGTTTCCACGATATTAACATGCGTAAGGTAAATTCTATTTACAGTTTTTGAAAGAATGTTCAAAGAAAGTCACTCTATAATTTAAACAAAATAAGGTTCATCTACAACAACAACATATTGTCAAATGACTCACAATGAATGAGTTGTGGACATTCTTTCATTTCTATGTAGTGAACGTTTAATATATAATAAAAATAACCAAATTATCTGACCATACATTTGCATTAAAAAGTAAACCATCAACATAAAGTTCGTTCAGAGATCAAAGGTTTCTCACTTTTGGTAATTTTCTCATGTAAAACAAGCGACCATCCTTACGACAATCAACATCTTCGTGTGATATTCTCAATTTCATCACAACTTTGACAATGTTACAGTGTTGAATTCTCCAAATATAAATTTGAAAGTTGACGGGAATCATAGGATGAAAAAGATCTTTACTTGACATCACAAAAAACTAATCTCTCTCTCTGTCCGTGATATTTTTACATAATTTAAAACTGACAGTTTTTCCACTGTTAAAACAAAGAATATGGACAATTTTTTCTGTAATATTTTTGAGTTCGTTGTTGATACCATAAATAACTGTCCTTTTGTTATATAAAGAACTTTTTATGTTCGTTTTAAGTGATATGTAATGTTAGTAAATACGTTAAGTTAATATAACTAAAAAAGGTTGAGTTAGTGGATTTATTCAGGAACATTGAGTTTTAAAAATTTAATTTCGTATCCCCTATTCGACACAAAAGCTATTATATTTGTGTTTGAATGCATAGTTATAACAGGCTGTGAATATGTATCTTCAAATTTAGCGCATATTTCACCAATCTTTAAATCTACAGCAAACAGTATGCCAAAAGATTCACCAATGAAATATGATTTATGTACGATTGTGCTAGACCATAAAAATTCATCGATACTATGCAAAATCGCACTCACGTCATTGTTTTTATGCACATTAATTACATAAATGCCAGTTCTCTGGTAAAAATAGTCGTCTTCCAAAAAGACTGCAATGACCGCTTGGTTACTATCACTTATAGAGCAATGGACATTACAACAAGCTCCAGTTATCCGTTCCTGAGCAAATTCTTCAATAAAAGACGTTATGGGTATTTCTGCAGTATGCCAAGGTTTCAAGGAAAGTTCATTGTTGTTACTTCCCCATTTCCATAATGTGTATTCCGTTTCGTTTACAGTTAAAATAACAGAATTATCAGGTGATACAGCTGCTGCTTTCAATTCAAAACTGTCGACAGGAAGTCTTTTGTTGTATTGTATCTCACCCTTGGTAATTCTAACAACTTGAACAAAATCTTGTTCGTCAATACAAACTAAGACATCACCAAATGTTAAGATTTTCTTAGGTCTAAATCCAATGTTAACTTGCTTTGCTTGAGTAGAATCTACAACATTTTTAGATGAAGTTGATATCTTCATAAGAACCATTCCATATCCACAGTAAACCATCTGACCACCAACATCCTAATGCATTCTTCAGTTGCATTGGGACAGTTTGAATAATAGTGCAGCGTTCAATGCTCCAAATATGAATGTTGACGTGGTCACCAACAGCGAAAGCAGCAAAAAAGATCCATCCGGTGAAAAACAACAACATTTAATTTCAAATTTCTCAAAGATAAATGAAGGTCTCCAAAGATGATCAGTTTTGAAAATATTAAGTTTGGTAAAATACGGCACAACGTAAAGTTCCTTAAACGAGATGGGATGGACTTCGTTAAGTGTCTTATAAAGACATGGACACTCAACATTTGGTAAACAAAACTCGATTTCTCCTTGATCGTTGTATTTTGTCAACTGAGTGATTTCAGAATGCTTTCCATTTTGGTTTGTATGATAAAAAATACAATCACGATGATGGTGTGCTGTCATTAAATGTGAAGGTAGTGGGAAAATATTGATTGCCTTTGAGAATTGAAAAACATACGAAGTCTCGACGAATTCTGCAACAAAAAACTCTGAATATTTATCGGCGCATAGTAGTTTTTGGTAGTCAACAACGCAGCGTCGATCAATTCTCTCCAAAGTTAATGAACTCCATGCAGTGAACACTTCTTTAGAATAATTTCCATCAAATCTTGCGGTAATGTACAAACCAGAATCTAAGTAAGAGCAACGATTAACGACATCATCTGACTGTAAACATAATAACAAACGTCCATTGTTAACGTCCCACAACTTTACTTCAGTAGATCCATCACTAGTTACCAGTCTGTTTCCGGTAGGTGAAAAAGAGCAACAAAATATGTTTCCACGTACAAAAAGAAATTTGTGGGAGTTATACCGTATATTGTTTGGATAGAAGGCTATTGGAATGCAATTTTGGCATACTCGTACCATTCCTTCAGCCTTGAATCATCAAGTACAGTGCCAAGAATATATCTTTCTGTAAATTCTGGAAGCTCAAAAATAGATATTTGAACATTTTCATATTCTACAGCAAGAAATTCTTCATTGGACGACACACAAAGAGATGTAACGTTAGCACGTAAGGAGACAGTCAAATGATGATGGTTTGTTAAATATGTTGAGTCTAAATCCTCAAACCAAACAAACTTTCCTTGTTTCAATAAATCCCTTGCCAATAATCTTTTTTCGTTACTGCCATGAATTCTGTTTGCAATAATTTGTAAAAAAATTAAGCTATCATCAAGCTTATATGAGTCATATTTCATTGTCAGTAACACCATAAGCAAATGAAATAGTTGCTCCTCAAGTACATCTTTTCTCAAGAAAGTTTGTAGTTCCTTGATGATTTCATGCAATTCAAACTTAATGGCAAACATGTCATTGCCTTCCACAACCATTAAATTCGCAAGAACCACTTTCACATCTACTGCCCAGCTAAAGTCAACATTATCGCCACATTCTATCATATGGTGGACTCCATTCGTTAAAGCATATTTAATCATAGCAGTGTTCATCTGATCTTCAAAAATGTTCATCCACTTAATTTGTTTAAACACTTTCTCACAAGCATGCCATTAGAACTTATGTCCATTTTTTATATCAACTGTAAACTCATGCTCTTCATAACCATCTGATTTTAACCAATCAAATAGAGATTTGTGATACACGGTCAAATAATCATTGTAAACTGGCAAAATTTGAGATTGCACTTCATGTATTTTAATACGATCTTTAAACTTCATGTCATCAGAAAAACCTAAACATTGAAAAAGAAAAGACAAAGGCAAAATACTTTGATAAGTCACCAACACTTCAAGACATTCCGTAAAGTTTTTATCGGAAATAACGGTTTTGTGTGTTGATAAAATTATTCCTTTCAATAATTTATTTAATCTCTTGAATTGTTCTGTGTAAAATTTACTCAAACCAGTAGGAACCAATTTTTTAATATTCTCGACAGATATCTCAGTTTTTTCTTTTTTCAAACTCTGTTGTGCATGGTAAGCGTACAAAAATGACCTCTCGCGTTTTTTAACCCTTAACTCTAAAGCGCCATCACTATCTTTTTTCGGCAAATCACTCAACATATGTCTCAAATACTTGTGCAGGTCTTCTTCGTTGTTTTCATCACGAGTACGAGTTGTAATTTCCACAGGATTCATATCTTTCAACACCTTTTGAACAGGAAGTTCTGGACGACTGGTGATGAAGATTTTAATCCATTTAGGCAATCGGTCAAACTCTTCTGCAATCAATTCCAACAATTCACTTTTGCCATCAACTTGGCTTTCATCTAAGGCATCAATAACCAAAAGCATTGGTACATGATCTTCCAATGAATGCAATGGATTATTTAATAAAACAAGGAATGCATCGGTGATCGATTCCTTGGAATTGTTTCTCTGTAATTCTTCATTTAGTTTAGATTTGAAATCTGATAATGTATCACAGATGCTACTAGCCAATGATTCTATCAATATTCGAGGATTTCTATAATTTGATTTATTATATCTGCAGAAATGAGAAGCGGCAAGTTTCTTCTTTTCAGAATATCGTCGACACAACTCAGCAGCAAACACACTTTTACCAACACCAGGACCGGCAATCAAAATCGCGACATTAGAAGCATCTTCACTTCTATCGTTAAACCAAGTGTCGAGTTTTTCAAATAACCATTGTCTAGTTCCTTCAAGGTATTTCTTGTTAAGATCTTTTATAAGACCGTTAAAATTACACTTTCCAAGCTTTTCGACGTCTGAATATGTTTTGTCCTGTAACATTTTTTTTACTCCTACTACATCTGCTTTCGTTTTCTTTACACCCTCTTTTATGCAAGTACAGTTTTTTAACATATCAATATATTTTACTTCATTAGGACTGAGTGGAGCTTTCTTCAATTCATCCATTTCAATTTGCTGAATACCCAGACCAACCAATGCTTTTGAGATTTCATCCCACAAGCGCTCAAACGTACCGTCATCTACACTAGTTGTGTTTATGTGGCCATACACTTTGTTTCGATAAAACTTTATTCTTGCAATATTTGCTGAGATTGAAGTATCTGAAGAGGAAGGAAGACTATCCCATCCACCATGTGGCGCTGTTAGACCACATATGTTACGCAATAAGACGTAATAATTTTCTCCTGTAACATTTTTTTACTCCTGCTACATCAGCTTTTGTTTTCTTTACATCCTCATTTAAGTTTCTAACTTTTGTTGCCATCTCTTGTTTCATCTCTACAACATTTCTTTCTATTACATTTACATTTTCTTTGATTTTTTCAGTGACATCGATTAACAGCTCTTCTGTTTTATACCATTCTTTTAACATTTCAATATAAGTTGCCTCATCGAGAGTGAGGGGAGCTTTCTTTAATTCATTTATTTCAATTTGTTGAATACCCAAACCAACCAATGCTTTTGAAATTTCCTGCCACAAGTTCTCAAATTCACTATCATCTACACTAGTTGTAGTTATGTGACCGTACACTTCGTTTCGATAAAACTTTATTCTTGCAATATTTGCTGAGTCTGAAGAATCTGAAGAGGAAGGAAGACTATCCCATCTTCTAAATGGCGCTTTTAGACCACATATATTTCGCAATAAGACAGTTAATAATGTGATGTCAAAGTTTTCAATATCAGGGTCACCAATTGACAGGTAAAGAAGATCCCATTGCTCATTCTTTATGACTTTAAATTTCAAAGATGTTAGTGTCTTCTTTGCAGAGGGATCTTTAAGTTTACCAGCTAAACTTGATGGCTTTAATAAAGATTGCAATGTTGTTTTTAAGGCTTGGGTTCCTTTATTGATTAAAAGTTTACTTAAACTAGATCCATTTTCTTCAATCTTTAATTTGTTAGGTGGCGAAGCCATTTTTTATTCTAGAAATGAGAGATGAGTTTGTGAAAAAAGGTATAATTTCTCAAAGGTTAGGTGATAGGATCAAACATCATGTACCAACTTCAATCAGAAATAGAACGATTCCATCAAGACAACAACCAAAACGTGATTGTAAGAAAAATAATTTAGTTTAATGTGACTCCGCGATAGATAAACATCTCTTGAATAACTCCCATTGTGCTGATTCTTCTTCCGACGACAATTTTAGAATTATTAAGAAATGCCGTTCATTCTTTCAAGTACGCGTCATGGAGGCTGTTTTGATTAAGTTAACTAATCTCGTCCTCTGCCGACAAAAGGATTATGTTTTCAATTTATCCTTGTTTTGAGCGTCATCTCCTCATTTGGAGATGAAGTACATTCTTTCTTGGCTTTACAAATATCGGTAGATTTTAAATTTTCATTTAGCAGACGTTGACATCTAAGGAGTGGTCTCCCAAAATGCATTATGTCGTTTAATTTCACTATTAAATTATTACTTTTACCATTCACAATGGTATTTGCGATCTTTAGAACGATTTTCAGATTTGTCACCACGACAAAGTCTCTATTTTATTAATTAGTTATTAATCTAATTACGCATGCGTCATTGATATGGTCATGTGACTGAATTTGAGAACATGTAGTCGTAAGCTATTAAAGCTTAGTATTTCGTTTGTATTCTATATGTTTTTGATAATAAATCATTGAGTAATTAACAAATTCGATGATGCAAAAGCTTGAAGAATCCCTTATTACAAGTAAATACACATGCTAAGAGATTACAAGTATTGAATTTTCTCCGGTTTTGTGCATACGTGTGGACAGGTGGAAACGATTTAAATACGCTATGTGTGGTCGCAAATCTGTTCAGAAACGGAGGAAAAATCTCCGTATTTTTTAAAAATATGTATACCTGTGAACATAGAATTAGTGCAATAAGGTCCTGTTGCAGGATTTTAAAATCCAATGCAGACAGCACAATCAGCGCCAATGCATCTGGGAGAAGGGTATAGGGGGGGTGATACACCCCAAATCTTGGACTCGTAGGCAAATAACAGGAACTTTTCGGGCGATTTTTTTATTATGAAATAAAAATACAATCTGATGTACTGAGCGATATAACACAAAAAGTAATATTATCAAAATATTAAATTGTTCCATAGTTTCCCAAAGTACATCGTGTAAATTGCCGTAAATCCTTCTCCACATGTCTTCATTTCTCCACATTAAATTTACGAATCCAGTATATTCGTATCTCGTATCATTAGGTTAATTAGTCCGTGTTGTTACCCGTGTGAAATTTATTGTATCAAAGAATAGTTACTAGTATTCACTTGCAATAATTACGAACTCACATGTCATGCCTTGTTGAATAATATCTTTGAGAGGAATATATGGTCTATAGAGTACAAACGTAATTTAGGAAATATAATATAAACGATAGGTGAGATAAGCACGGTTACATAATGACAATTTGCTACATACATATCAACACTGGTTTAAATGTTTAAATACAAGCACAGTGCATCAAGTCTCATCACAGTGTAGTATTCTCTCAAACGATATATATTTGATGTTTGCCAACTTCTGCGAAGCTTATGCTTGCGTAATGTCTCCAGCTGTTAAATTTCAACATAATAAAATAAAAAACAGAAAGGTTATGCGCACCAAACACAACGTTAGTTGTATTTACAAAATTTTGTTGTGCAAATCGATGAAATGAAATGGAAAATAGTCCGTTATAGTCCTAAGTAAACTGAATACAAAGTAGCACACGCTGTGTTCTGGAGATAACGAAAAATAGCTAAAATATTTGCATCGATTGAGAAAAGAGGAAGCAATTAGTTTATTATCTTTTTTGATTATGTGATATCAAAAGCTATAATTCAATATCAAAATAAATTTTATGGCAAAAATGCACCAGCCAGCAACTATTATGGGTAAAGAAAGTAGGTGGCCCATCTATGGTAATGTCAAGATAAATTACTACAACAAATTTTGGCGTAAATTTGCATTTCTAAGCATCTTAGAGATAATTAAGTGCACTGTTAAAATTATATTCTTTACAAATTCATGACTACTAGTGTTTTTCTGAAAGTACTATGAATAAAAATTGACGAGCTAAAATTTATTTTTTCAACAAACTCTGAACCACTACAGAAGGAAGTATTGTTACTAGAAGATAGCAAATACAAGTTGGTAAGCGTTACGACCAAATTCAAATGGTGCCTCCAGATTTCTAAAAAGTTACGATATCACAAACAATAAACCATCACGGGTTTCAAAGTCTAAGATAAATACTTTTGGAATTGTTCCTACAAAGCATTGTAGGTACCTTCGTAATACTGGGCCTGAGTGTACAAAATGCGTTGGTCGACTTATTGCATCTAAACGAAATAAACGAGTTTAGAACATTGTTTGTCCAATTTTCTTAAACTCAAAATCGAAAACAATGCAGATATCAAACGTTTTAATTCCTTACTAACTCGGTACATATCATTTACATGCAGTAAATTGTTTCTATAATTTCATTCATCTTTGCGACCAGTCCGTCATGTGTACCAAGGTCACAACGGTGTAATTCCCCAGTCTTCATATTCTCTTGTTTTACAAAAGTCAGGTTTAAGACCTTCTTTGTGCCCTTTTCCATCCGATACTCCTGGCACACATAACACCATTGTCTAAATTTACTTTCCCAAAATCTTCCAATCACAGTGTCGTTAATATGACCTAAGCCTTTTACTTTCCATTCCAAGAACTTATTATACTCAGTTTTGTTGTTCATTAGAAACTTAAGTCGCTCCGCCAATTCTTTGGGAGACTTAAAATCTCTGACATTGATAATGGCATTTTCAGATTTCCAGGCAAAAATCATTAATTTTATCCGTGCTCATCACCACAGGTACTGCACCTGCGTTAAGTGCATTAAGAATTTTTCATCAACATAGTAATCACAATCTTGGTTGAAAAACAATAACAAACTTGTATAATTTTTCCACATCTTGTTTTGCTTCTCTAAAGTTTGGTGCCCAGCGTCCTACTATACCATCTTTATTATGTAAACATCCACCATAGGAACCGACATGAACATGTTCCGTGAGATGTCTTATATACGCTGTCCTGACAGCTTCGCAGTTGGAAAGAGTAGCAATAATTCCTCCCGTTTTTTTCTCAAACGGAACCGGTGGATCTAAATTTGGCTTTGTAAAGAGTGGTGTAGGAAAATCAGAATCAAGTCGATAGCTTCTCGACAATTGAAACTGTGACATAAAGTTGCCGTCAGAAAGTATAGGAGTATAAACAGGATTTTCCATACCCGTTAGGATCCAGGGAACATCTTTTGATGGAGGTAGAAGATATGGATCTCTTGAATGCACAATAAATCCATTTGCTTCTTTAGCTCGCTGATGGTCTGATGTAACCTCACAGGCCACAGGACATTCGCCTTCTTTGTCACCTTTTGGCAAGCTTACTTCAAAGGATGCGGGCGAAGCACCAAAAAATTTACTCCAAAACAAAAGAACTATTTTACCTGTTCGTAATGGAGACCATGTTATATTTATTGCAATGGTAGACGTTGTTTCGGATTTAAAAGTAGACACTGTTTTAGATTCATTAGTAGAAGTTGTTCCAATTTGATGAGTAGACGTTGTTTTAGGTTGACGAGTAGACGTTGTTTCAGATTTATTGGTAGGCGTTATTCCAGGTTGAGTAAACGTAGTTTCAGATGCAGGAGCATATTTTATCACAAACTCATTTTCGTAAAGATAGATGATCGTAGTAAAACCCACAACAAAAAAAACGATGGATATGCGGAACTGCATACTACATCCCTTATTAGATAAAGTGACCATATTTACGTAAGCGAGAGTAGATCGAGGTGTTCCTAAAACCTATATCTATACAAGTTGAAACTAAAAAAGAAAATGTGATAACATGTTAGCAAGTTTTATATGTGACAAAATGTAACAATAAGTTAAAGATATATTTCTGTCTTCAACAATGTCAAATTTTCATGAAATGTTGTTAATATCAATAAAACATTAATGAAATGGTCACTCGCTTACAACGCAATAAGCATCTTACACGATTTGACAAAACGTCTCCATTTTATTAACATGAGCATGCTATGTTTGCTACAATCTTTTCTTAAAATTAAACAGCCACGTGCATATATTATACATCTTATTACTAGCAAACAAGGTTTTTGGCTTGATGAAAGTTGACATTACCACTCACATGTATGCTAATTAAATGGACGTACAATTTCATCATAATTGTCATGCACGTGGGGCTGCTTTAACGAAATTAAGTCGCCCATATTCGTTTCTTACGAAAATGTCGGCTGAAGAGAAGGAAAAACTGGAAAGGTTTCGTGCTAAAAGAAGAGGACATCGCGGAGTGTGTACTAAGCTCGAGAAAGAGTCAGTTGAATTGTTTCGAACTCTGAAATCTCCTGTAATCGGTACGTATTTCCAGCATCGCTCGCAGTAGGCAGCGTAGAATAGAGAGGCGCTGTCGACACCAGAGGTGAAGAAGGGGGCGCGGAGGGCTCACACAAAGTCATACTACTCCAATAGCAATGTCACTATCGAACCTACGGTAGAAGATGTTGAAGAAAACCCAATAATGGCCCCCACGTCAATCTCTAATGCAGGGTTGAAAACTGTGAAAGCTGAAACCAGCCTGCGTGGCTTGCGCATTTCGAAAGTTGTCTTTTCGACATCATTCACTTTCAGCCGGACTGTCGCAACATCGTTTACAGCAGCCGCGATCCCCATGCGAAGCACTCGACTCGAGCTGAGAACTGGGTCAAGCGTAGACCATACGCTGGCCCCCCACCTCTCCGCCTGCAGAGTAATACGCGCAGAAGGGCGTCCCACCATCGTCGCAGCTCTATCGGAACGACGACACTGAAGTCGCTTGGCGGCCTGAGCTTAGGTGAGAACAACCTCCAGCTGCGTACAGGTGGGGCGGTCCAAAGCGTATTCCCATATAG